CTCCAGCCTGGGTAACAAGAGCGAAACTCCGTCTCAAAAAAAAAAAGGCCAGGCGTGGTGGCTCACACCTGTAATTCCAGCACTTTGGGAGGCCAAGGTGGATGGATTACCTGAAGTCAGGAATTCGAGACCAGCCTGGCCAACATGGTAAAACCCCATCTCAACTAAAAATACAAAAATCAGCAGGGTGTAGTGGCACAAACCTGTAATCCCAGCTACTCACAAGGCTGAGGCAGGAGAATCGGCTTGAACCTGGGAGGCAGAGGTTGCAGTGAGCTGAAATCGCACCATTGCACTCCAGTCTGGGTAACAGAGTGAGACTTCGTCTCGAAACAAAAATAAAAAAATAAAAATTAGCCAGGCCTGGTGGCACATGCCTGTAGTCCCAGCTACTCGGAAGGCTGAGGCAGGAGAATCGCTTGAACCCAGGAAGCGGAGGTTGCAGTGAGCTGAGATGGCACCATTGCACTCCAGCCTGGGTTACAGAGAGAGACTCCATCTCAAAAAAAAAAAAAAAAAAAAAAAAATCCTAGGCCGGGCACTGTGGCTCAGACCTGTAATCCTAGCACTTTGGGAGGCCGAGGTGAGTGGATCACCTGAGGTCAGGAGTTCAAGACCAGCCTGGCCATCATGGTGAAACCCCATCTTTAAATTAAAAAAAAAAAAAAAAAGGCCAGGCGCGGTGGCTCAAGTCTGTAATCCCAGCACTTTGGGAGGCCGAGGCGGGTGGAACACGAGGTCAAGAGATCAAGACCATCCTGGTCAACTTGGTGAAACCCCGTCTCTACTAAAAATACAAAAAAAAATTAGCTGGACATGGTGGTGCGTGCCTGTAATCCCAGCTACTCAGGAGGCTGAGGCAGGAGAATTGCCTGAACCCAGGAGGCGGAGGTTGCAGTGAGCCGAGATCGCGCCACTGCACTCCAGCCTGGGTAACAAGAGCGAAACTCCATCTCAAAAAAAAAAAAAAGAAAAGAAAAGAAAAGAAAAACCACTGACTCCTAATTAATAAATTTTAATGTCATAAACAATCTGTTGGTGTTTTTGGTTTTGTTTTTTATTTCAGACAAGGCTCACTCTGTTGCCCAGGCTGGAATGCAGTGGCACCAACACAGTTCACTGTAGCCTCAACCTCTTAAAAGCTCAAGTGATCCTCCAAGGATCCTGCCTTAGCCAAGAAGCTGAGACTATACGTGCATGCCACCACAATTTTTTTTTTTTTTTTTTTTCCCCCCAGAGACGGTGTCTTATTATGTTGCCCAGGCTAGTCTCAAACTCCTGGGCTCAAATGAATCTCCCACCTGGAATTCCCAAAGTGCTGGGATTACAGACGTGAGCCACTGAACCCAATCCAATTAATCTTTGGATCAAAAAAAGTCTACCATCATTTTATTTAAGAAAACAAAAATTTATTAGTCCCAAAATATTTCAAGTAAGAGTCAGTGCAGGCCGAGTGTGGTGGCTCAAACCTGTAATCCCTGCACTTTGGGAGGTTGAGGCAGATGGACTGCTTGAGCCCAGTTCAACCAGCTTAAGAAACACTGCAAAACCCTACCTCTATTGATAATACAAAAAATTAACCAGGTATGGTTGTTCCTGTCTGCAGTCCCAGTTACTCAGGAGGTTGAGGTGGGAGAATCACCTGAGTCCAGGAGGTTAAGGCTGCAATGTACTAGGATCTCAGCACTGCACTCCAGCCTGGGCAAGAGAGTGAGACCCTGTCTCAAAAAAAGAAAAAAGAAAAGAAAAGTTCCTAAATCCGGACTCTCAGATACCTTTCATTTGAGAAAGAAGGTAAGCCGGGCACCGTGGCTCATGCCTGTAATCCCAGCACTTTGGGAGGCCAAGGCAGGCGGAACACAAGGTCAGGAGATCAAGACCATCCTGACCAACATGGCAAAACCCTGTCTCTACTAAAATACAAAAAAAAAAAAATTAGCTGGGTGTGGTGGTACATGCCGGTAGTCCCAGCTACTCAGAAGGTTGAGGCAGGAGAATTGCTCGAACCCAAGCAGAGGTTGCAGTGAGCCAAGATCGCGCCACTGCACTCCAGCTCTGGCGACAGAGCAAGACTCTGTCTCAAAAAAAAAAAAAAAAAGAAGGTAAATAATATCTATCACCTAGAACTGCTGTGAGGATTTTAAGTGAGTTATGCTTTAAGTACCTGGCACATGGTAAATGCTCGGTTACTGAATGCATGAAGTGAATGCAAGAGTTTGAGGTTGCAGTGAGCTATGATCACACCACTGTACTTCAGCCTGGGCAAGAGAAAGACCTTGTCTCAAAAAAAATAAAGTAAATTAAAAATGAATCAAAAAATGACACTACCAAAGTCATGTTTACTGAGACTGAAACTGTAACTGCTCTGAAAATGCAGCAGTATTAAATCCAATAGAACCAATCTTTTGGTTTTTAACCAAATAGAAATGCATTGTGTAGAAAAGAATCAAAGAACCTTCTGATGGTATTTTCACCACTTTAACAGTAACACCCAGAGACTGAAAAGATTCTGGCTGTCAAGCCTAAGGTATACATGATTCTGAATCTGAGTAGACCCTAAAAATACTCTCTGGCTTTACAAGTTCAGAGAGGTCAAAGGTAACTTTGTCTATAAAGTCTCAGGTACAGTGAGTCAACATTACCCAGGTGGTCTCAATACTGCCAAGCAATTCCTCAAACTGCTTTGTAGCCACTTCCCTACCCGCCAAAACAAATGCCTGAAGGATTATCCATGGCTAAAGCTTCTTGTAGTTGGTCCCAAACTGATGCACACTGAAGAGTCTGGAGAGGTAGAAATTACTGAAATTTGCCTTTTTCTACTCTGTTCCTTGATATTCAAAGGAATATGCCTCTAGATTACTTTTCTTTGTTAAATCTCCACTGAATTTAAGACCCAAGCACATTCACCTGTGTGCTTCAATTAAAAAAAATAAAAGACCCAAAGCTTAGATGAGAAAAAAAAAAAAAAAGACCCAAAGCATTGGCTAAAAGGAAAACATATTCAATTCCATTAGCCACTTCTAGAAGCTCTATTACCCACATTTAAAAAGTGACCAATTTATCACTGTTTAAGAAAGGGCAATATTCTTAAAAATGTACAGTCTAAATATAACTTCAGAGGGAGGGGAAATCTAAGCACCTAAAAATACAATTATTGTCTCTCACTTCCTCAAACTTCAGATAAGAAATGTAATTTTTCTAGCTAACCTTCAAGAAAGAAAAGAGAAAGAGAAAGGAGCGTGGGAGGAGAGAGAAAGGAGGGAGGGAGGGAGGGTCGGTCATTCCTTTTTTTTTTTTTTTTTTTTTTGTTCTTGTTTTTGAGGGGGACAGAGTCTCACTGTATTACCCAGGCTGGAGTGCAATGGCGCCATCTCGGCTCACTGCAGCCTCTGCCTTCTGTCTTCAAGAGATTCTCCTTCCTCAGCTTCCCAAATCGCTGGGACTACAGGCATGTGCCGCCACACCCAGCTAATTTAGCATTTTTTCTGGAAAGACGGGGCTTCACCTTGTTGGCCAGGCTGGTCTCGAACTCCCGACCTCAAAATCCGCCCACCTCGGCCTCCCAAACCGTGCCTGGCCAGAAATGGTCACTTCTGAATAAACCACGTGTAATGCCAAAGGAACCCAAGATCCCTGCCCATGCCTAATAACTGCCCAACACCGACAGGCTTCACTGAGCTCTAGAGGCCAAATAAATAGGTTCCTAAACCAGTTTATCTTTTCATTCATTCAACAAATATTTACTAAGCAGCTATTCAGGGTAAGGCAGTAAGTATCAGCGACGTTCCCAGATACACTGCAGTGAACAAAGCCTTTGCTTTAGTGCTATGATCCTCAATGGGGGAAAGTACAGAACTGAAGAGGGTGCTGGGAAAATTTCAGAGGCTGGAGGAGGCTTTTTGGCTACCTGCTTCATTACACCCTTTAAGGGAGTCTTCCTGAATATTTACACAAAGGGGAAATTTTTAAAAAAGCATTTCTTATAAACAAGGGATTAAGTCAAAACTTTGAAAACTACTGACTCGGCGGAACTTCCATTCTAAAGGTAGGAGAAATAAGTAAATGAATAATTGATTTCAAAATCTGGTAAACATTACAAAGAAAAAAAGGTAACATAAGGAAAGTGCTCTAATAAAAACTGGGTTCTCGGGAAAGGCCTCCCTGAAGAACCCCTTAAGTACAATGAACATTAACTCTCACACCACACCGAACCAGAAGTATAATCAGGTAAAAACCGTTGTTTAATAGAAGTTCACATCCATCCTATATAATTCATATTAACCTGTTAGTAATTAACGAATATAGTCATCCCAGTTTAGTTGTTTAGGAAATCAACAACAGGTAGCAAACCCCCTCGAGGCTTTGAATACTCTCTATAACAAAACTTAAAGCTTTTACCACGCTTGCTCAGTCTTTAGGGATCATTGTTCAGACACCTAAGGCAGCTGACGAAAGAAAGTCACACTCTCCCAGTGGCTAAGCTCGACCTGCTCTGGCACACGAGAATGAGCAAGGGCTTTCTCCAGGAATGCGTGGGTTCAGAGGAGCGAGCCACGAACCCGTCAAGCCCCGGGCGCTCGGGCGCCGAAAGCGGACGGCGGGGGCGTGGCGGGCCCAGCGCCTGCCTTTGTTGTCCCTCGTGGCGCGCGGAGGGGGAGGGGCGGCCCGGGGCCCGCGAGGCCAGCTGCCGCCTCCCGCCCCAGTCGCGTGGTCTGTCGGCCCCCGCGAGCGCGCGAACCCACCTTCTTGTAGTGCTTGCCCAGCCATACCCGCACTGAATCCAGCTGAGACACCGTCTCCGGGCTCTCCCAAAACTTGGTGGCCGGGCCCCCGTCCTTCCGCCGATAAACGGCCAGGCCTGCTGCTACCGCAGCAGCACCCGAGCCCGTGGAGCCTACTGCTGCCCCTGGGCCGCCACCGCCGCCCGCTACTGCAGCCATCGTCGCCGCCTGTCGCCCTCACCGCCTGGCCCACCCCGACCCTTGCGGTGCTTCCCGTTCGCTCCCGCGCGCCCTTGCGCGCGTAGCCGCCACCGCCGCCTGCCGGCCCCGCCCAGCCAACCCCCTTCCGGCGCGGACGCCCGGCCCCGCCCCATCTCCGGACTGGCGCCGTATCCGTCGCGAGCCCGCCCACACGCATGCGCAGCTATTCTGCGGCCCTGCAACGATTTCCAGTCGCCTCTTCCGCCAGCCTCCGTAGGCTGTGGACGTTCTCGCTTACTGAGCGCGGGTCTTTGAGCTCCTTGCTCTTCTCTCGCTACAGACGTCCAATCATGATGCGGTCAGCAACCGCAGGTGGGTTCTGTGTCATCGCCTGCTCTGCTGGACAGAAAAGGCCTGGTACGAGAAGTGCCGAGAGGAAAGCCTGTCTAGGGTATCCAGTGCTGGCCGAGGACCCTGCGCGCGGACTGGGACTGCGCTGGGCTCAGCTTTCCGGCAGACCCTCCACCCGGAGCGGTCCCGCGGCATTTTGCACAGCCATCTGGGATGCCCATGCCTGAACTTAATGGCTTCACAGACCTTCCCCTCCCTCATGGCTCCAGCCACAGCGGCTCATTCCTGCCCCAGGGGCCCTGGCACCGGCTGTTTCCGAGACTTCCAACAGGTCTTCCCTTCTGATTTTCACTTAAGAGACGCATTCAAATTCACTGCTTCAAAGCACTTCAGAAAGTCGTCAGATCTTAAAATCTTGAATAACTATTCTCAACCACACATTTTCTCGTAGCGCTCACCACGATCCGGTGTTTCTAGTTTCTCACCTTCCACATAAATTACATGAGAACCTAATCTTGACTTGTTCACAGGTGTAACCTGAACACCTGGGACAAGGAATAGATGTACAGTAAATACTTGATGAATTAATGAATGGCCCACATAGAAGCAGAATGATTATTAATTATTAACAAGGTATGAGGCTGGGCACGCTGGCTCAAGCCTGTACTCCCAGCACTTTGGGAGGCCGAGGCCGGCGGATCAGCTGAGGTCAGTAGTTCGAGAGCAACCTAACCAACATGGAGGAAACCCCGTCTCTACTAAAAATACAAAATTAGCCGGGCATCGTTGTGGGCTCCTGTAATCCCAGCTACTAGGGAGGCCGAGGCAGGAGAATCGTTTGAATCCGGGAGGCAGAGATTATGATGAGCCGAGATCGCGCCATTGCACTCCAGCCTGGGCAAAGCGAAACTCCGTCTCAAATAATTAATAAATAAATAAATAAATAAAACAAGATATGATTGGCCAGGCACGGAGCATTTTGGGAGGCTGAGACGGGAGGATTGCTTGAGCCCAAAAGCTCTAGACCACCACCCCCTCCTGCCTCTACAAAAAATAAAAATATCAGCTGGGCGTGGTGGTGCAAGCCTGTGGTCCTAGCCTCTTGGAAGTCTGAGTAGGGAAAATCACTTGAACTGGGGAGATCAAGACTGCAGTGACCTATAATCAAGCCGCTCCACTGCAGCCTGGGCAACAGAGCGAGACCCTGTTTCAGAGAAATAAAAAGTATAATTGGCCATAATGGAGTTGTGAACATAATGCTATATGATCTCAGAGAAGTAGTAACTAATTGCTTGTAAGAAAGTGAGTAACTGCTGTTAGTTTTTGAGACCCTTGAAAAATGAGGGCATGTACATATTATCAGGATCTCCTAAGGACTGTGTTATGGACAGTAATACATATTAAAAATAAATAAAATGAATAGAATGTGATCAGGAGGGCCAGGCATGGTGGCTCACACGTGTAATCCCAGTACTTTGGGAAACCGAGGGTGGGTGGATCACAAGGTCAGGAGTTCGAGGCCGGGCGCGGTGGCTCAAGCCTGTACTCCCAGCACTTTGGGAGGCCGAGGCGGGTGGATCACGAGGTCAAGAGATCGGGACCATCCTGGTCAATATGGTGAAACCCCGTCTCTACTAAAAATACAAAAAATTAGCTGGGCATGGTGGTGCATGCCTGTAATCCCAGCTACTCTGGAGGCCGAGGCAGGAGAATTGCCTGAATCCAGGAGGCGGAGGTTGTGGTGAGCCGAGATTGCGCCATTGCACTCCAGCCTGGGTAACAAGAGCAAAACTCCATCTCAAAAAAAAAAGAGTTCAAAACCAGCCTGACCAACATGGTGAAACCCAGTCTCTACTAAAAGTACAAAAATTAGCCAGGCGTGGTGGCAGGCACCTGTAATCCTAGCTACTCAGGAGGCTGAGGCAGGAGAATCGCTTGAACCTGGGAGTCAGAGGTTGCAGTGAGCCGAGATTGTGCCACTGCACTCCAGCCTAGGCAACAAAGCAAGACTCTATCTCAAGAAAAAATAATGATCAGGGAGTGCTGTGGTTTGAATGTGTACCCAGAGTTTATGTATTGCAAAAGTAATCCCCAATGCAACAGTGTTGAGAGGTGCGAACTTCGAAAAGGTGATTAGGCTCAGGCGCCATGGCTCACACCTGTAATCCTAGCACTTTGGAAGGCCAAGGTGGGTGGATCATGAGGTCAGGGTATCAGACCATCCTGGCCATGGTGAAACCCTGTCTCTACTAAAATACAAAAAATTAGCTGGGCGTGGTGGTGCGTGCCTGTAGTCACAGCTACTCAGGAGGCTGAGGCAGGGGAATCACTTGAATCTGGGAGACAGAGGTTGCAGTGAGCCGAGATCATGCTGCTGCACTCCAGCCTGGCAAAAGAGCCAGACTCTCTCTCAAAAAATAAAAAATAAAAAGGTGATTGGGTAATGGCCTGATCTGGTGGCTCAGGCCTGTAATCCCAGCACTTTGGGAGGTGGAGGCAGGTGGATTGCTTGAGGTCAGGAGTTAGAGACCAGCCCAGCCAACATGGTGATACCCCATCTCTATTTAAAATTTTAAAAAATTAGCTGGGCATGGTGGCACAGGCCTGTAATCCCAGCTTCTTGGGAGGTTGAGGCAGGAGAACCATTTGAACCTGGAAGGCAGAGGTTGCAATGAGTGGAAATTGTCCCACTGCACTCTAGGCTGGATGACAGTGAGACTCCATATCAAAAAAAAACAAAAAACTGGGCATGGTGGCTCACGCCTGTAATCCCAGCTCTCAGAGAGGCAGAGGTGGGAGGATAGCTTGAGCCCAGAAGTTCAAGACCTGCCTGGGCAATACAGCTAGACTCCGTTCTCCACAAAAAGGAAAAAAAGAGGTCGGGCCTGGTGGCTCACACCTGTAATCTCAGCACTTTGGGAGGCTGGGGTGGGTGGATCACCTGAGGTCAGGAGTTTGAGACCAGCCAGGGCAACATGGTGAAACCCCCATCTACTAAAAATACAGAAATTAGCTAGGCATGGTGGCAGACACCTGTAATCCCAGTTACTCAGGAGGCTGTGGCAGGAGAATAGCTTGAACCCAGGAGGTGGAGGTTGCAGTGAGCCCAGATCATACCATTGCACTCCGGGGCAACAAGAGTGAAACTCCATCTAAAAAAAAAAAAGAAGAGGTGATTAGGTCATGAATGGATTATTCCTGTTATATAAAGGATGTGGGTTAGTTATCTTGGGAGTGGGTTCCTGATAGAAGGTTGAGTTAGGCATACTTCCTTTCTCCCTCGCTTGCTGCCTTCCACAAGGGGATGCTGCAGCAAGAGGTCCTATAAAGATTAGACTTCCTAGCCTCCAGAACTGTGAGAAATAAATTTCTCTTCTTTATAAATTAGCCAGTCTTCAGTATTCTGTTATACCAGCACAAAACAAAGGGAGGAAAGGCACAGGAAAACAACTAGAACAAAGGCATTGAACAAACCATGCTTGGTGAAACTCTCTTTAATCCCACATGATAGAAGCAGAGATGAAATTTGTGGCAATTAATTTTGACTTTCTCTGTAAGCACTGGGAAGCCAGCTTTAACAGAGGGAATTATATGATCAGATCCTAAGCTCTTTTCTGGTCTTGAACTCCAGGCCTTAAGCAATCCTCCCAGTTACATCTCCCAAAGTGCTGGAATTACAGGTATGAGCCACTGCACCCTGAAGTTTTAAAAGTTTTTAGTTTGAGGCCAGGCATGGTGGCTCATGCCTGTAATCACAGCACTTTGGGAGGCCAAGGAGAGCAGATCAGTTGATGTCAGGAGTTTGAAACCAGCCTAGCCAACATGGTGAAACCCCATCTCTACTAAAAATACAAAAATTAGCTGGATGTGATGGTGGGCACCTGTAATCCCAGCTACTCGGGAGGCTGAGGCAGGAGGCGGAGATTGCAGTGAGCCAAGATCAAGCCACTGCATTCCATCCTGGGCGACAGACCCAAACTCCATCTCAAAAAAAAAAAAAAAAGCCTTTTAATTTGTAACTTTCTCAGCTTTAACAGAAAAGTTGCTAATAGATTACAAAGAACTTTTTCTGAACCATTCGATACTAAGTTGCTGACATGATGACCATCAATATCAAAAATTTAATGTGTATTTTCTACAGACAAGTATAGTCTATATATTCTCTTACATAATCACAATGCCATCATTTATACCAGGAAATTAACACTGATACCATCCTCAGACCCCATTCAGGTTTTTCCTATTGCACCATGAGATCCTTTATAGAAAAATTTTCCATTTCAAAATCACACTTTGCATTTAATAAAGTTTCAAGTCTCCTTCAATATGGAACACTTCCTTAGTCCTTTAACCTTCAGAACACTGGTACTTTTGAAGATTACAGGGTGTTTGTTGTATAGAATGTCCCTCAATTTGAGTTTGTCTGATGTGTCTTCTTCTCTGTATTCTTTGCATTGCATTCTATCAGGTGGTGCATACTTTCATTTCTCCTGTTACATTGAAGGCAGAGTATCAGCCAGGCTTCTCTACTGTGAAGTTATTCTTTTCGCCTTTGTAATTAATCACTATTTTCTATGGAGGTATTTTTTTTTTGCAGGGGTGGTTAAGGTATTGCTTTGTCACCCAAGCTGGAGTGCAGTGGTGTAATCATGGTTCACTGCAGCCTCAACCTCCTGGGTTCAACTGATCCCTTTCTGGAGGTATTTTGAAAGTATATTAAAAAAAAAAAAAAAAAAGTCCAGGCATGGTGGCTCATGCCTGTAATCCCATGGGAGGCCAAGGTGGGTTGATCACCTGAGGTCAGGAGTTCAAGACTAGCCTGGCCGACATGGTGAAACCCTGTCTCTACTAAAAACAAAAATTAGCCAGGCGTGGTAGTGCGCACCTGTAGTCCCAGCTGCTTGGGAGGCTGAGGCAGGAGAATCACTGGAACCCAGGAGGCGGAGGTTGCAGTGAGCCAAGATCACACCACTGCACTGCAGTGGGGACAGAGTGAGACTCCATCTCAAAAAAAAAAAAAAAGTCACTCTTGTTGCAGTGGCTCACACCTGTAATCCCAGCACTTCAGGAGGCTGGGGTGGGTGGATCACCTGAGGTTAGGAGTTCAAGACCAGCCTGGCCAAAATGGTGAAACCCCATCTCTACAAAAATACAAAAATTGCCTGGACACAGTGGCTCACATGGGAGGCCAAGTGGGGGCAGATCACGAGGTCAAGAGATTGAGATCATCCTGGCCAACATGGTGAAAACCCATGTCTACTAAAAATACAAAATTAGGCCGAGCATGGTGGCTCACGTCTGTAATCCCAGCCCTTTGGAAGGCCAAGGCAGGTGGATCACCTGAGGTGAGGAGTTCAAGACCAGCCTGGCCAACATGGAGAAACCCTGCCTCTAATAAATAAAAAAATAAAATGAAAAACACAAAAATAAAAAAATTAGCTGGAGGTGGTGGCGTGCACCTGTAGTCCAAGCTACTCAGGAGGCTGAGGCAGGAGAATCGCTTGAACCCGGCAGGCAGAGGTTGCAGTGAGCCAAGATCAGGCCACTGCACACTCCAGCCTGGCAGCAGAGCAAGACTCCATCTCAAAACAAAAAAATACAAAAATTAGCCAGGTGTGGTGTCTTGCACCTGTAGTCCCATCTACTAGGGAGGCTGAAGCAGAAGAATTGCTTGAACTGGGAAGTCAGAGGTTACATTAAGCCCAGATCTCGCCACTGCACTCCAGCCTGGGCAACAGAGCAAAACTCCACTCAAAGAAAAAAAAAAAAAAAAAAGGCTGGGCTCAGGGGCTCACACCTGTAATCCCAGCACTTTGGGAGGCCAAGGCAGACATTACCTAAGGTCAGGAGTTTGAGACCAGCCTGACCCACATTGAGAAACCCCATTGCTACTAAAAATAGAAAATTAGCCAGACGTGGTGGCGCATGCCTATAATCCTAGCTACTCGGGATGCTGAGGCAAGAGAATCGCTGGGAGCCTCCTGGGAGCCGGAGGTTTTGGTAAGCTGAGATTGTGCCATTGCACTCCAGCCTGGGCAACAAAAGCAAGACTCAGTGTTTAAAAAAAAAAAAAAAAAAAAATTAGTCCGGGCATGGTGACTCATGCCTGTAATCTCAGCACTTTGAGAGGCCAAGGTGGGCAGATCACAAGGTCAGGAGTTTGAGACCAGCCTGGCCAACATGGCGAAACCCCATCTCTACTAAAAATACAAAAATTAGGGGGACATGGTGGTGCATACCTGTAATCCCAGCTACTCGTGAGGCTAAGGCAGGAAAATCACTTGAACTGGGGAGGCTGAGGTAGCAGTGAGCCAAGATTGCACCACTGCACTGCAGCCTGGGAAACAGTGAGACTCCATCTCAAAAAATATATATACATATTTGTACATATATATATATATATATATATACAAAAATTAATCAGGCATGGGGGCAGGT